GGTACTTATACCATTCCATATATGACTAATAATTGGAACATACATGGGGCAGCTTGATAAACCCAACAATAATAATAATAACACTAATAATTAATGCGTGCATTTAATTATCAGCTGGCTAACAAGTTGATCTATATTCTATAGGTGGGAAGAGCCACAAGCAATACAAGCAAGCAAGAGAATAGCAGAAGAAGCACCATCTTCTTCAACATTGGAACTGCTCCGCTTGAACTTAATTGTTTTTCCTTTGTTGCATTGCATCTGCTTCTGGACTTGGTAATTTTTGACCTCTTGCTGCTGTTGCCTTATGTTCATTGCTTCTTCCACTCTGGATACCATTCGTTTGATTTCAAACAAAAACCAGCAGTTTATAGGATACAACTAATGGTGCTTTTGTTTTTTGAATTTGAAAGACTTAGCAGAGGGCTAAAGTGTGCATGGGAACAGACACTGATGTGCCTACTTTTTATAGAGCCTCAGTAACCACTAACTGCCAATGTGCAATAATGAAGGTGGATGGTTATTAAAGTAGAGGGGAGTGATATATATATATATGATGGTGTCAGAGATGGATTCAGGATTTAAAGTTTATTGGTTCAAATTTTAAGATTTTTAACATTGAACTCATTATATTTTTAAAGTTATGGGTTCAAATTTATTATTTTTGCAACTTTAATGAATTTTTATACATAAATTTCTACTCCGTATCAAAAGTTATGGCTTCAATTGAACTCATAGCTACCATACTAACTTAGACAAATGAGAAGAAATTAGATATACTTTTTTCCCTCCATAGGATTTGAAAGTAAGAACTCATTGTTCTCCTCCCACGCTTCATTGACCAATAAAATATTTGATATATATCTACATAATAAATTGTTATATTTTGGGCCTTCCACAACATCTAAACATGTTTGTTTGAATAAATAAATAAATACCTATGTATATGAATGTACTGTTTACCCTTTGCTATTTTCAGTAGGAAACTAGCTAGTACGTGGATTATTTGGTAATGTTTTAGTAAAACAATTTGTATAAACGTATTCTCAACATTATGTAAAGCGTCCTGGAAAGTTTATTTAAGAGGCACAATTTAAACCTTCTCCAACCAAGACCAACCTAGCAAAAAGTACAAAGAAGGAAGTTGGAAAAGGTAAAGTGTATCATGGCCACGGTTATTGCGTTTGGAATAGCAATCATTACTACGAATCTACGGTTATAAACTGTATTTGTAAAATAATTATGGAAACAGAAATGAACAACGGAATAACAGAAAATCAATTCGAGCCCACTGAATTCACAGTGTTTCCTTAATGAATTTAATCCCCTCCTAGTACCCAAGGTTATGGATTATTTCCTCCCAGGATAGAACGAATTACACACTGGTGTAGTGGTATTTCAAACCCCAGTGTTTCAGCGAATACAAAAAGTTTGGTAGCAAATCACACTTACTGTTGCTATGTTTGATGCTAAAAGTATATATGCAGAAGAAGGAGAAGAAACTTAGAAAATCGTATTGAAATTCTGAGCAGAATTAGCCTTGAATAGCCAAAGTTGGGCTGAAATCTGAAGAGGTGCAACTCTTCAGAATGGCTGTTTATGCAAAACGGCCACAGCATAAATGTCATTACATAAATGGCTATTTACTCAACAATAAAGAGGAAAAATTGAAGAGGGTAGTTAATTTTCTGTTACCAAAACAGAAAAACGGATTGGAGGATTTAATATTAATATTTATTTTAATATTAATATTCTGTTATTAAAACAAATATTTAATAACATTTCTGTTAATATTTTACTATTAACAAATAAATTTGGTCCAAAAAATTAATCAATCAATCGATCATTTGACCAAATCCAAAGCCGAAGCCGAAGCCGAAGCCGAATCCGAGCCGAGCGAGCGAGCGACGACAACGGCGCAAGGCTTGCCTTCTTCTCAATTCTTTAAGAGCTAGAAGAAGAACAATTGCTTTTATACCCATAAAAACCTCTTCCACTTCCAATATGGGACAATGTCCCTTCGCCAAGGGAGGAAACTTAAAATTTCACTCAAAAATTTAATTTCCCTCCATTTTTCATTCACCCTCTTTTATGTGTTAAATACATTAAATACATAAAAAAACCCAACAATCCCGCACATAAATGGGGAATGGCTATATCACGGAAGTATGCATGAAAAACTTGTGATTCACAAGCAAGGATTAATTGCATCTGGATAAGTAGGTTTCCCTTTGAACTTTCCGTAGTGAACTTATGTCGGATATACTCGATCAATCGATAGATTTGATATCTTTGAACCGTCGAACTTTGGTGTATACCTAGACAACCACAAGTCACACAACCAACCCTTAACCGCCTTTGGTTCTCATTATTTTGTTCGTTT